ACATTGTACTATACATTATACATAGGAATACAAATACCAGCAATGCATTATACACTGTATGTATAATGTATTGCTGGGATTTGTTGTACTCCTCTATAGCTGGTGATATTCTGCATTGCGCTGTATAGAGGACTACAAGTCCCAGCAATAATACATTATACAGCGCAATGCGGAATACCACCAGCTATAGAGGACTACAACAAATCCCAGCAATAGTACATTATAAAGTGGTACAATGCTAAATACCACCAGCTATAGAGGACTACAACAAATCCCAGCAATAATACATTATAAAGTGGTACAATGCTAAATACCAGCTATAGAGGACTACAAAACCCAGCAATAGTACATTATACAGCGCAATGCAGAATGCCGCCAGCTATAATGTGCTTTTGCTGGGTTTTGTAGTCCTCTATAGCCGGTGCCATTCTGCATTCATTGCTGTATAATTTTACACTTTCCATTTCACTATATTGCACACCACACTATCTTTTTTTTCTTTTTTACTTCCACCGCTCCAAGCTTGCTCCTGTGATGGACTACAACCTCAATACAAACTAGTAGTCCTATCACTGGAGCTATTTTTTAAACTTTATTTTATTGTTTATCCGATTAACCGATTAATCGAACTTAATAATCGGCTAACTAATCGATTTTGAAAATAATCGTTAGCTGCAGCTCTAGTATTCAGCACTGCTGTACCTTGACTGACATTTATTCAGTCATAAGGTGTCCATACACTGCACGATTCTTGTACGAGAATCGCGGGAAATCCCGCGATCGTACGAGAATCGTGCAGTGTATGGAAGGCGTGCTACCGTTTCTAATGTACGGTCGCACGACTTTTGTCTTTCGAGCATGTTGGAAAACCAGCCGAGAATCGTACAATTTTCGGCTGGTTTTTAACATGATCGAGAGATGCCTGCGGAACGGGCCGGTGTGCGCACACACACACTGCCCGTTCAGCATTGCATTCATCGGGGGGGGCGGGCTTGCGATGATCGCAAGTACGATCTGCCTGTCCAAGATGGTACGTTTTTTTAAGTACTTTACAACCCTTGCAAGACAAAAGTCTTGCAAGGGTTGTAAAGTGTATGGCCACCTTTAAAATGCTGATCTGAAATTAATTTTATACAATTTTTTGTGAACACAGAGCTTTCTTTTGGTGGTATTTAATCACCACTGGGGTTTTTATTTTTTTTTACTATATATAAAAAAATTAAAAAACTTTTGAAGAAAAAACCTGTTCTCTCGACATTATGTTATAAAACATTTATTATTACCCAATTTTTTGATAAAATATAAAATATGGGGTCACTTCAGGTAAATAGACACCAAACTACCATGCCTAAAATTGGCCATAGGCGATGCTTTAAAAGTTTTCACCGCTCATTAATTTTATTAGTGATTAATGGCCCTAGAATTATTGCTCCCACTCCAACGTTCGCAGCGATATGTAACATGTGATGTAATCGATGTTTTCGTACATAAACGCACCCGACGCGTATTTACGTTTATAAGTGCATGCACGCGGGGGTAGAAACCTCATAATCATTGTATATCTGGTCCTGGACATTGTAGCAGAGTACAGGGGCATGTGGTGGATTGGCTGTGTGGACCAATATGACTGAAGTACATTTTTTTTGGTGAGTCCCATGTTCAGCGTTAGACCGAGAAAAGTTTTGAATTCAGGAACAGTGAGAGGTCTCCACTCAAATGGTCTGGCATAGCTGGAATTGGGATTGGTTGCAGTAAATTGTTGGTAGTAAAGATTTGTTTGGTCCACAATTAAACTGAAAAGTTCTTCAGTAAAAAAACAAATAAAAAAATTGGGTAGCTGTAAGATTCTCAGTCTCAACCTAAACTCCTGGATGGGCAGTAAATGGGGGGAGGACAGGCGTTGAAGTAGAGGGTAGCCACAATGGATTTGCAAGTCCCTCTGGCACACTAGTACGTGCTCTCTGGGGCCTAACTCTGGGTGGCTGATGATGGATTACTGCACTAATGCTGCTTGCAATTTGATGAGGATGCACTGCAGTGCTAGTGCTTGCCTGCTGCATTATAGTTGGATGTGTGATGACTGGCACAGCACATACACTGAACAGAGCAAAATACTTTGCCCTGCAACAATGTTGTTTAAACTACACTGTCCAATGGACAGTGTGTTTAATGTTGTTTGCTCGTGACCGCGCCAGGGGGCGCGCAAGAGCAAAAAAAAAAAAAGCCGTCTCGTAACGGCAAACCGTTTTTTTTAACTTACAAATACAGAAAAAAAGACTTGGTCAAAGTTATTACAAATACAACATGCTTTTATGTGGGCATGATTAGCAGACCAGGGGAATAACAGTGAGCTATTTAAATTGGTTACACAAGAGCATATTCAAACTACTAAATAAGGCAAAAAGGTTACACCATTTAACATACCATAAGTACAGTGCAGGAGGATGGACCTTTTTTTAGACTCTGTTCACTTTCAGGAGACTTTTTTTCCAAATCTGTATGTTATCATTAAAAACAAATCAAGTTGACATTGCGCTGGTTTATGTAGCAAATATCTTTCTTGTTTTTTAAAAGGCATTTCATATTACCATACAAGGAACTTTAAGTACTTCATGACACTGATATATTATTCCCCAGCTAAATAGATTTTAATCTGCCTTGAATTTTTCGTCATGGTAAAAATACAAATTTTAGTCCTTCCAGTGAACAAAATGCCCCCAAGAATTATAGTATAAAGAAAATCATTAAAATAAAAAAATGCATATGTATTAACATTTTTCACTGTAAAATATCCAAATAATAAGTTTGGTATAGGTAGGAAGAGAACTATAGTGTTCAACTTACACCAACAACCATGGAGCCCCGCCCTGTGATCTCCTGCATTAACCCCTTCGTGACGGGAGACGTACACTGTACGTCCAGCCACAAAGGGACCAAATGACTTGTCACGTACACTGTACGTGACGAGTTATTTGCTGCTTTAGAGGGCTGTTAATCGTTGAGAATCAGCTTTTAACATTCATTAATGGATGCCCTTACTACAGAGGCATTCATTAATGAAAGGGTTAACCTTTTTCAGACACCCGATACCTTAATATCGGGTGTCTGAGAGTCAAAGCAGAGGGACACACATGCCGGCTTTTGCCGGCATTCTGACAGCTCGTATAGATCGAGAGATATCTCTCTCAAGCTATACTGGCTTTTTTTGTTTTCTTTCATGAATAGATACATAATGTGTCTATTCCTATAATGTATCTATTCCTGGAAGAAGAATGTTTCAGTTTGCTGATCGTTGTTGCAACAATCAGAAAACCTTTAGTTTTCTGATTGTTGCAACAACTTAATGTGTAAAAAATAAAATAAGGGATAAATGAATGTATTTATTGCATTTTTTTTAGCTGTGATGGTTTTGTAAAAAAAATAATACAAATCAAAACTGGGGAAAAAAGTGTTTTTTTCCTCCTTTTTTTTTTATATTTTATTTGTCCTAAGTGAGGCGTTAGACACACATATGTGATATAAATATGTAGCCCTATCTGTCCTCTAAAAAACAATATATAATATGTGTGGGTGCACTTTGTAAGAAAGTATATTACTGACGTGGAAGAATCACACAGCAAAAATGTCAAAAGTGTGTCAGTCATTTACGAACAGAAACTAAAAACAAGCTGTCATGAAGGGGTTAAAGTATTAAAAACTGCGACTTGCAGAGTCAGCTGTCTGTGCCTTGATCTCCCTCTTCATTAGGTGTTTATATAATTCTGTGTGAAATAACCAGCACCTTCAGAGATAAAGGAGAAATATTAAGGTGTTCTAATATAACTGTAAATCGCCAATGCACAACTCGCTTATCTCAATTTCATATTTGCTTATCTCAATTTCATATTTGCAGTCTATCGGAGAACCAGTCTTTACTGAAGATGCCACCTTGGCTCAACCCCTTGCTTCTGGGTGCAATCATCATGTCCATGGCACTACACTTCTTGATCCTCCATGTGAAACCAATGCCGGTATGTATCGTGAGCTTAAAGTTCTTTCTAGGAAAGTTCATTAAAAAACAAAATTCAGTAATGCTTGTACTTCAGACAAAGTGAGCAAATATAGGACTCTGTGTACTAAGCTTTATGAATTATTTTAGCTTTTTATTGTTTTATCTAATAATAATGTTCATTACTGCAATTTTGAGATATCTACACATGTGTAACTGCTTTTTCCCCCCCTTTTAAATAGTTATTTTACCATTACAAACCTTTATTTTACATGAAAGGAAACCTGTCATTGGCTGTCAGTGGCTATCCTACTGAACTTTGCATGTATCTCTTGACCTGACTAAAAACCCTGCTTATGCCCAGTTATTGTATTTCATGTTTTCCAATTAACAGCTCATTTTCCAAGTAACTCCCTTGAACTTGTGTCAGTGGATAGTAGTCATGAAGATTTCATTGCCTGTTATTCTGCTTGATGAAGGTCTCAAGTATATATCACGGCATCACCTGGATGGTAAGTCCTCCTCCTATGTTACACCAGTCTATCCAGAATGAAGCACGGTTCCTGTAATGCATTTTGTGTAGCATGGTTCTGTGTATAAAATTACTTTTTACCTTTTAAAAAAATTAAATAAAATTGCTTCATCACTTCCAGTAAACCCACTTGACTGACTTCAAATAATTTTCTACTGCATTTTTAAGGAACTCGTTAGACATTGACATTTATTTTATATTTAAATGGTTGCTAACCAAACATATATTACCCATTTACTAATTAACATTTCAAGGGGTAAATGCCATCTCATATTTTAGTCTTAACTAGGTGTGATAGATGGTCACCGGTTTCACACGGTTAAAAATGGTCATGGCAACATCAGTGTTCATTTAGCTTATTACAGGGTTCTCTTTGAATACCGTGTCATGTACAGGGTAAATTTGAAAAAATAGGATTTGAGCATGATTGGATGTTTAATGTGAAAAACTAAGCAAAGCGAATATAAAAAGTGAAAATGTTGTATTTCCTTAGTAAATCAACCACAGTATATAGCGTGTTCTGCTTGAAATGCTATTCTGTATCTTAGCCACTAGATGTCATCTGAAATATTAGGAAATATCAGGTTTTTCTTAGGAATTGGATTCGATTACTTATTTATGTAAATATATGTTCAATTCCACAGTTTGTAGCCAGTTACCAATCCACTTGTGTTCATGTTCAAGAAATAGAAATAATTTACTTTCCCTTATGAATCTTACATTGGTGCATTATTTAGCATAACAATTACTATTTGAAATGCAGATAGTACAGTTTCTAATATGCCCATGTATTTATGCTCACCAGAGCCAGTGTTTCTATAATGGATCTATTTGCTAAAAGTCTGAAGTTTAATTTGTTCATGAATGGGAAAAGGCGCAAATAAAAGATTAAAGTAAGATGTGAAGGTATGAATATGTGCCAACTGTCAACAGTTTTAACAACACAGTTGTATTTACAATATATGTAACCAATGCGTAGGAACAGTGCCAAAAACTAAAAACATTCACTTATTAATCGGGTGTATTCATTATACCAAGGGAATATGAATTCAAAATACAGCAAGGTAGTTCACGGTGGATATTTCGCCTTAATGCAGGAGCATGTCTGATCGGTTTCAGCAAATAAATAGGCATCTGTTTTATTACTTTCTTTACAACTGCATAGCTGTGTATTCATCTTTACCAGTGATATATATATATATATATTCACCCTCAGCCGTGTTACAGCAAGTTGTCCAATTTTGACAAGAAAAAAAAATAGGATTATCATTGTGATTGAAAAGTTGCCTGCAGTTTTCTGTTATAGCTCTTGATATGGTTGTAAGAGAATTGAGGAGAGAAAGGTAAATGTAACATTCTTTTGATAAATATATGTAACGGCAAAAGAAGCACCGCTCCTTCATGCCTTAGGGAAGGAATGAGACAGATGCTTGCTGCTGGGAGCACGTCCTCGCTCCAGTATGAGCCCATACAAACAGATTGCGTTTCACCCAATCAAGTGCTTAGTCGTAGAGATATCTCTACGACTACGATTAATCCTGTGATTGGCTAAAGCGCGTCAGAGGGGGGCAGACCTTAGGCGGGACACCAATGATGTGATACAAGCTTCAATAAACTATTCCAGTGGAAACTTGTGTACAGCCAGCTTTTCTTTTGTTTGGAACAGCAACTCTACTTTTTATTCTAGACGTGAGGTAGCAGAATTTGTCCACGGCCCATAAGAAGCCAATATAGCCTATTTGAAAAGGTAAAGAATGGCACTTTCCACTGCTTTATTTAAGGAACCTGGCAGAAGTCAGTTAGATGAGATGCATACAGTATATGTATGCCAGAATATTTGTAATTATTTTCAAACATCACTTTGTGATTCACAAACCCTGAGATAATCCTGGTGCTCCCTTTCTAGGTACCTAAACACCTTCATCATCCAGTTCATGTTGCCAAAAAAACATGGCACCAAGAACATTTTCATAGAAACATGTTGCTTTGACTATATTGTGAAGTACAGCACTGTGCAACACAGTAATGAGTAACTGGATTACAGTCCATCCTCAGTACAAGTCCTGATGTACAAGGAATTGGAGTGAGCTATTATAAAAACAGATTGAGAATATTTTTAAAATACATTGTTGTTTTAATGAATATTTAGTTTATTACATGGATGTCTTTATCTACCTACTGTTTGTGTTACTTCTGATTTCACTTGTCATATAGCCTAAAGGTATGAGAGTGCTAAATAGCAGCCACCAACATGTAATTGGTACCTATGTTTTCATTTTCATAGGTCTACTAGAAACTGTAGAACAGTCCTGGAATGGGACTGCTCAGGCGAAGATCAACAAGAGTCAAGATCAGACTGGGTGATTTGCTTTTATCTATTTAGTTATTTAAGTGAGGATGATGACATGCTGCATTGGAGCACATATCTAGTTTGATATGCTTGCTGTAGTTTTTTGTTTTTATTTTTTTAATTTTCTTTAATCTAATATCTTTTTGCATCTTTTAAAACATGTATGCAAAAACTGAAAGGATTTCATTTTGGGATAGTATATGGGCTTTAAGAGTTCTTTCCTTTAGCTCTGTCTGACTGTATCTGAATAGAGTGCTATGCTTTGGGAGACACCTGTAGGTGAGCCTGCCTCATTATAACTTATGGACTAAGAAGTAGGTGATTCTAGCAGGTAAAACTGTTAAACAGTATTTCCTATGAGAGTTATAAGTAGGCCCTGCAGTGTTGGTGCTAAATTAATTACAGCATGATGGGTTGCTGCACTGTGAGCACAAGATTACATATATTGTAATCTGTGTGCATTTACCCATATCGCTGCCAAGCCCTCCGCAACGCTTTTAACCTTAGCTGGCCAGACCATTAATGCAATTTTTCCCCATTGTTTTGATTTTTCTATTGCTGCGTTGCTAGCGGTTGTAAAAGGCCCCCGAAACCATATATTTGCTGAAAGCAAGGCCCAGGAGAATAAAAAGACGGTGCTACTAATATTGTAGGTCCTGCAATAACTGCGCAAATGTTTATCAAATTAATATTAAACCTATAAAAATACACCATTAAATTGATGAAAGCACACTAAAATCCGTTCACAAAAAAATACTTTTCCGACTAAATCTAAAAGATAAAACTGCATTGAGTCAAATAACAAATATTTGTAAATGTTAAATTGCGCCTTTTTGCGAAACGGTAAAAAAAAAAGTAAGGCAAAACTGTAAATAAGCAACTTATGTTAAAAATCATTTGTGTGCTGTGATGAAGTGTGTGTTGTGATACAGGCGTACATTTAATCGCAACATATCGTATCACAACACACGGCAATGCCTTACAGCGCAGTGCATGGCGTACACCACAATCTGGTGCACACTGTTGTGTGTGTGGAAAGGGGGGTTGTTTTTTTTTATTTTTGTATTATTACTGTTGGGGGCTTCAAGGAAATATCAGGGGTCTAAACAGACCCCTGACATTTCCTTTTCGAAAAAGAAATTGAGGACAGAGAGTCATCAATCTCTCTTTCTGCAGCCTCTGTACTGAGAGTTTTCCAGTCATTTAGAACAGAGACTTCCCATTCATTTAGAAACTGAAATATTTACTATCAACCAGTTTCAGAATGGGTAGCAGCCTCTGTATTGATGAATGTGCAGCGCTAAAAGTGGTTCATGTGCAAACACATATATTAATTTGTGCTCAATCTCTCAAGTGTAATAGATGTGATCCATTTTTCAGGAATATTGAAGTGTATGGAGAAATCAAATAAACAAGAAATATGTGAGCAAACAGCAATAAATACTAAGTGACCACAATGTCCCCACGTAAAAATGCCTTTATCAACTAAAGTCCAGCAAGAAGGTGCTTCATAAATGAATAAGATCACTGTGTGGCTGTGTGTCAGCTATAATAATAACACAATCAAATCATGATCAATAATCAATGGTGATCCATCAAACAAAAAGTCCAGGTGTGATAGTGCAAATAGTCCAAAGTAAAATAATTAAATCCAAGACCAAACAAAAGTATTCCAACACCGCTGTGCAAGTGTCCCCGAATCCCCCTCTGGGGTGCGCACTCACCCCACTGTTGTGGTAATTAGGCAGTGTAGATAGATCTATATGGTGTGGCAAGTATACACATTTATTTAAAAAACATAGAAAACTTACAGTTTAAAACAGCAAAGACCGGCCGGTCGAAAACAGTGTCAAATACAGCGTCCGCAAGGCATGTATTTCCTGATAGAGCAAGGTATCACATGGAGTAGGACCGCCCCGACGCGTTTCATCACAGACGACGTCCTCAGGGGGTTGCAGATCTATCCATTGATACCATCCTTAAACTTGTATCGCCTGTGTAAGATCCTTAATTAAAAGCGCCACTAGGTGTCCTCATAGTGCAAAAAACTAATGTCTATTCTCATAGGAACTCAGAGAGAACAGATATGCCATTTAGGCAACAAAATTAACCAAATAACACTCTTTGAAAAGCTCAAATATTTTTTGATATACCTATATATAAAACCATCATGTAGACTAATAAAAACACCCAAAGGGTAATATAATAATGGGATCTAGTATAAATTATTTATTGGTTAAAAAACAATTCAAATCAAATTCTACATTTAATCCCGTGGGGGTCATAGTGTCAAGAGTAAATATCCATTTGGATTCGTTCTGCAAGACTTGTTGGAGGAGGTTACTACCTCTCCAATGTCATCATTTTATTGTTTCGACCTTAAGGTCCATAGCGCAGCAGCTCTTACACCGGATCCTTCCATAAGCGCAGATTTCACATTTTCTATAGCCTCTGTATTGAGCTGCTTCTCCCCACTGAGAAACTCATGAATGACCAGGAAGTAATGTAAACCACTTCCTGTTCATTCACAACTGGGGACACACATTACTATGTGCCCCCCTTTTGTGAAAGTAAACATTTTTTTAGTACTTAGATACTTAGAGCCTTCCAAATACTAATGGTTAAAAAAAGCATAGAAAAAAAAAAAACTTACCTCAGCCAGCTTTCACCTGTCACCTCCTTGGAAGCAGCAGAAACTGGGCCAAGGTAATTTTTATTTTTTTAAATTGCGATTTTGCCATCATCTCTGTGTGTGTGTATTATTTAGAGATATAGATATATATATAGATAATATCTAGATGGATCTATAAGGATATATAGATATATCTCTCTCTATATATCTATATATAGATATCTATATATAGATATGTATGTGTATATACTGTATATATATATCTTTTTGTATCATTTGTACCTGCAGCATGCAGTCATATATTTGTCTCTGGAGTTTTTTTCTTGTACTCCTAATACTAAAGGTGGTCCTTAAAGCTATGTGAAGCTTTTGCATTTTGACAGTAGCACAAACATAGGTGATCTGTACTCGGAAAGAAATGTGTTCTCATGTAAACAGTCAAGTGCTTACCTGGTATTACAAAAAAAAAAGAATTAATGCAGGACCATTTGGCCATTAACAATGCTGATGCAAGTTTTACTATAATTCTTCCTCTGCCAGCCTTGTCATAATTGTGTACTCTGCTTTAAACAAATTCAGTCATGCACTGCTCTATACTTTCCATTGCTCCTTTAGCAAGAATGCTTTGGAAATATAATTTGGTCCACTAAAGGTGTAGCCATGTATATACTCCTTTCTGAAATGTTGGTATCCTAAAATGGCAGTGGATGCAAGCACAGCCATAAATAGACTGACAGGCTGTACACAATTGTGACAGGAAAATTTGCACAATGTCATCTTGCTGTTACCACAGTTTCCCTGGAGACCTCTGAGGTAAACACTGAGCTGTTCACACAAAGCCCACAAGTCAAATTGCTACTTATCTCTAACATTATATGGCAGCCTACTAGATATTTTCACTAAAAAGTCACTTAAACTGACATTTTTGAGCTCTTTATTTAGAATGGTTTAATATATTACTATGGCATCTAGTTTTCTATTATTGGCATACAGATACTGAATTTATGATGTGTGGAAATGTTTTGCCTATTAGACCTCGCATCACCTTTAAACATCTCGTGGAGTCACGAGGCGGCCCAACGAAGTCATCTCGTGGAGTCATCTCGTGGCCCAACGAAGTACTGATGGGGTGGTCATAATAATCTGGCCACTCAGAGTGTGTGTGTGTGTGTATATATGTGTGTGTGTGTATGTATATATATAATCACTTTATTTTCCTAAATAGGATTATGTATTTGTGGGAGAAACTCTTGTTTATAGTTTTAAAGAGACAATGGGGGAAATGTAGTCGCATCATTTGGATGGGAAGGGGGTTTAACACCGCGGATGTCAACTGGTTAAAACTGTTGCATTCTAGTGCATATGGCAACAGATTTATTATCCTATATTATGTTCCATTCCTAAATACCTTCATAAGGAGATTTGCCTCTAAGTTTTCTCTGTCTCTAAATTGTTGCAAGCTTGCTGGGAACCTCCTAGAGGACAGCTGAATAGTCCTGAAGTGACTGAGGGTATGATGCTGAATTATCTTTGCAATACTTTAAAAATCCTCCAAACTGTCACACATTCTAGAAGTCCTCCTTAGCACTTCTAGAATGTGTGACAGTTTGGAAGGTTTCTATTGTCGCAAATGCTGGCCACAATTAATGTGCAACTATGAAAATTATGCAAAATGTTGCAAAACGTGCATTGAGTCGCAAACAAAAAAGACGCATAACAGAAATAAAACTTTGCAGTTAGAAATTTTTTAGGCGCAAAGACCAAAATGTCATGCTAACATTCATAAATTCCCCCAATGTCTGTTAAAACCTACCCACTTCAACCATTTTCTTAAAAATAATTTTTAAAAACCGGCAAAACATTTTGGATTTACTTTAGAGCACAATTTACAAAAGAGTTTTAGAAAGAGAAATGTACAGTAGGATCTAAGAAAGAAGATATATATATTTGCTATATAATAGAGTTTAAAAGAAGGTCAATCTACTGCATGGCAACCACTATGGGAATCATGGTGTTGGGGATATAAAAAAGAAAATCAATATGCAAATATCAAAATGAAAACATTTTATTAGGTACATAACACATTTTGAAAAATATGGTATATAACACCAAGAATTTAAAAGCTTCTGACTGTGACTCGGCTCTGAAAAAGCAAAGTAGAATATAGCCTTTGCTGCAAACTGAGAAGCTGAGCAGCAAACAGGAAGGTATGGAATCTCACAGAAACCCGTGACTGTCATTCGTGCATGTGTACATGTTATAAACCTTACAGTATCAGAATCAGAGATGGATTTTTTTTTATTGTCTTTTATCATCATTACAAATAACTTGGCAATAATTTGAATCTGCTTTAAAAATGTTTATGCTATTTCAAATATTGTCAATACACACTCCACAAAGTGGAGGTGTGCTACAGTAGCTACATAGTTACATAGTTACATAGTATTTGAGGTTGAATAAAGACATTAGTCCATCAAGTCCAACCTATTAGGATCTCATTCTAGGAGTACCCGTACCCCTAATAGCTAATCAGCTAATCAGATTCTAGTTAGAATTTTTCAGGTGAGAAGTGTTTTGAGTGAGAAAAGTTTTGGTCATGTGGCACCAGCAACTCTGAAGCATAGATTTGTAGCATCTATAAATCTCTGACAAATTTCCCTGGCAATTTCCAGCTAACGACAAAAACTCTGTTCAGCTACAAACTGCTGGTGTGTTATTGATACCAGCAGCTGCACTGGGTAACACCTACTAAAGCTGGGGATTCTGTAGATAGCTTCAAACACTACAAAAAGTAAATTGTGCATGGACTGAACTACGAGCCACTGGTAACTCTGTGATCCCAGACACTTTATTGCCTGCAATTCATTTTTTTTCTAGCAACATAAATCCCCCGAGGAGAGTGCTTCTGCCCATGCAACAGCTCATTTCTACACATTGCCAATGTGACATGATGCTAAGGCTAACAACTGATTGGTTGCTGTGTTTAGGAACCTTTTATATCCTTTTCTAAAGTTTTATACACCAGTTCACTTTTATTAAATGTCATTGACTATGTAAAATTTCAGAATGGGGTATTCCTACATCTGCTCTAAATCTGCATTTGTTTTTTCCTTTTGCAGGAGGAAAAGATATCCACAACATGCGGACAACAATATTTCTAAATAACGTGTCCCATCACCGCAGTTCAAGCTGAAGAATCATGCATGTCTGAAAGCCCAAAAAAAGACAAGATTTTCCACCTATTAGACAAATGCGGATGAAAAGTATAAAAAAAAAAAAACCACTGAGATTTGTTTCTAGCTTTTTTTTTTTTTCTGTACAAAAAGGTGCAATAACTGGACATCTTTACTGTGGCTTGGGGATAAAATTACATAGATTTGGCCATGCAGGATTTAAACTAGATGCTACTGAAAAATCAGGATTTGTTTTTTAGTCATATGTGTGTCATTAATATGAAATGAAGAGGTCTTCAGTGCCTGAGGGTGCTGAAATATACTTGACAGGGAAGCTACAACATGCATTGTTGGCTAGGAAACAGCAACAGCCTGTTTGTGCTGTGTGGTTTTGTCATCGTGGAAAACAGAGGCACTTCTTACTCGGGAATGCTTTGTGGTCAGCATATATAGTTCATATACAACAACATTGTTCATTGTAAGCTATTCTGCTCTTGCCCAAAAAATAAAATAATGTGCTGTAAGCTGGAGTTTGAAACCATGCAAATAGCTGATCTGCAAATTCGTATTTTACTTTTACAATATTCACTGAGAAGCTGTGACATTTTATGTTATGCATTTATGAAGAGCTATCACCTGTTATCTTTACCATGGAAGCATTTGTTTAAAGGTAACCTGTCATAACATCTGTTCCCTGCTTCAGCCGAGGCTCCCATCCAGCGCTTGAGGTGGTCATTGCCTGACTCCTAGAAGCTGTACTAATTGTAGGGTGGAAATGTCACTACCTGGTGCTGCACAGTTCTGCTCTACCCCAGAACTAGCACTGCTTCCTTGAGCCAAGCCATGACATCCTCCAGAGCTACATGTGAGGCTGAGCTATACCAGGTAACAGGTTCCCTTTTTAATAGATTTTTTTATCCCCTCTATTCATTTCAGTGGAACAACACAAATGCCAAGTTCTGTTTGACTGTATTATAGCACTGTAACTAGTTGATGTAATAATAGGAAGAGTTGTATGCAACGGTTCTCCTAATGGAAATTTAATGAAAGCCTGAGAATTTAGGGGTTTCTCTTACTCCAAAGAGTAAAAATACACCTACTAAACTGAACGTTTTAATGTATACGTTCCTAGATTTCATGTTTCAGATAGGAACCACACTTGAATAATTTTAAATATCAAACACTTGATAAGTTGTTCTGCACATTTAGAATAGTGTAATATATGAATATTGTTTGAAACTTTCCAGTAGAACCCAAACAATCATGGCATTTTATCAATTTTGCTAAAGGTGCATGTTTGTTCAGCACAGGAACTAACTAATTATGCATACATAGGCATTTTGTGCTGTGTTAGTAACTCTCTGGGGCTTATTTATTTACAATGTGCTGTAAACACAGCTTTCAATAGTTCATTAATGATGGTTCCAGATCTCTTTGAGATTCAAAACTCATTTTAATTCAAGTGATGTCTTATTCTAAACCCCTCCCTATTTAAGTATGTGTGTTAACATGAGTGGCTGCATCTAGCTATATAGCACCTGACTTAAGTGGCCCTTTCACTAACCTTTTCTGATACCGTTTATCAAAAATCCAAGCAAATGAGTATTCACCTTTTGTATCTGCCTACTCCTTTTTATCAGGGATATCCTGTGTACATGCAAGGAAGAGGGTACTTTCAGCAATCACAAAAAATAACTTTGACTACTCCACTTATGTTTTTAAAGGTTCTCTCAAATTTCTACAGAAATGTCTGTTCTTTACACAATGGAGACAGGTATTTTGCGGACTTTCGTTATTATTTTCATAATTTCCTGTAATCTTGGTTTATAGATCCTCAATATATTTCAGTCTGTCAAAGAATTAACACAAACACATGTATGGCAGTTCTGCTTAGCAGCAGACCACACAAAGGGAACAGAAGATTGCGGTTGAATAACTTATGATGTCAGTTCAAGAGACATTCCCATAAATATTAGTTTTGGTTAGAGGGGCCATGTTAAATGAAATCTTGCTTGATTTGTTACCTTATCTTTTTTCCATTTTTTGTATTAAATAAGGCATATATATGATAAGGGATTTCTACCACACTGTCAGCCAAGCCTGTTATAATGGTCAAATTGGGGTCAATGTTTTACCATACTTTCTGATATAATTCATAATGTCATCCGATGCATTGGAATGTATACACTTGTTATACTACTGAGCGGATTCATTGTACAGAAAAAATTCAAAATATTTTACTGTAATTAAATAATATATTCTATATTTAAGGAACACTTGTTTTACAGAACACCAAGAAAACGTTTGACCAAATATGTTATTCAGTTTTTGTTTTTTTTGTTGAGAAATTGTATTCCGGTTTAGAGTGAACTCTGATTTTAACTATTTGTATATGAGTGAACTTTTTAAAGAATAAAAGCTATTATATTAAGTTTGGGCAGGGTTTAATGTGTTGTGTTTTTTTTTCTTTTCATTCCTATTCATTAACAGCAACATATATCAATCAAGGCATACAATATTTCAGGAAAAAGGCACATTTCATATGAGTAGTTTAATGCAAAATATAATATAATATAATGCAAATTTTCCAAACATTGTAAAAGCAAAAAAAAAATAAACTTGCATATTATATTAATGAAAGCTTGAGAATTTAGGGGTTTTGCAGACTCCAAAAATTAAAAATTTACCCTAAGGAGAACTATGGGGAAAAACACTGACCCCATAGTTCTCCTTTAAATACCTCCCGGCCGGCCGTTGTGTATACACGGCCGGCCGGGAGCATCTTGGATGTAACTGGGCGTGTATACACGTCCTGTTAGTCCTGCCCACTCGAGCGCACCCCGCAGACACCTAATTTAAAAACCGGCAGCGGGTATAGAGCCGGCGGATCGCTTGTATGGGGTCCCGGTATGTGCGCCCCCCCCTCCCGCTGTCACGCTGATCCAGGGCTCCGCTGTGCCCGGTGCAAGCACGGGACCAGCATAGTGCCTCTGTAACAGAGGATCAGAGGAAGGTCAGTTCACGATCTCCCTCCGGTCCCCTCTCCGCTGTCAGAATGCGGAAGTGGTGTATATTACATCACTTTCGCATTCTCATGTCACTCCAGCTTCAGATGCTGGAGAGAAGCTGATGAAGCAGATCGGTGCTTCTTCAGGGGGGTCCTAGTTGACATTAGGGGTCTTGGAGACCCCTGATGTCTCCATAAAGAGGATCTGTCACTTTTGCTATCACATATAGGAGTTTCTTAGCCCCCTCTGTGATAGCAATAAAGTTAAGTGGAAAAAAAAAATTTAAGTTACACATGAAGAAAAAAAAAACATTTTTTAAAGTCCCCACCCTTACATACACGCATGTAAACATGCGTCAGGTGCTCATACCTGCGAAAACAACGATTGTGCCCATTACGCCGCACATGTTGCATATCGCTGCGAACGTCGCAGTGAGAGCAATAATTTTAGGGCCATCAATCACTGATAACACTAAACTGATGAGCTGTAAAAGCTTTTAAAGCGTCGCCTATGGCCAATTTTGGGTATGCTAGTTTTTCGCCAGTGCACGCAATCTTTAAGCTTGACATGTTTGGTGTCTATTTACCCGACGTGACCCCGTCTTTTATATTTTACCAAAAAAGTGGGTAATATTAGTTGTTTTATAACATAATGTTAAAAAAAAAAACTTTTTTTTTCTAAATTTTCAGTTATTTCTCCTGAATATAGTAAAAAATAAAAACCTCAGTGGTGATTTAAATACCACCAAAAGAAAGCTCTATGTGTCCCCAAAACATGGTAGAAAATTCATTTCAGTACAGCGTTGCATGACGGAATACATGTCAGTCAAAGTACCGCAGCGCTGAACACTGAAAAATGGCCTGGCCAGGAAGGGGGTCTAAACACCTGGTCTTCAAGCGGTTAACAAAGGTTTAATTGATACTTTCCCAGTTTTATTGTTTCAGATAGGAACCCCACTTGAGCCATTTTGAACATCAAACACTTAAAATATTACACTATTCTAAATGTGCAGAACTTGATATTGTTTGAAACGTTCCAGTAGAATCCAAACAATCATGGTAGTTTACCAATGCTCCTTAAAGTGCAGGTTTGTGCTTCAGCACAGTAACTAACTCATTATGCATACATAGGCATTTTGTGCTGTCTTAGGGTATACACGGGTAGATTTTCGAATCAACGTCGTACAAAAAATCTCATCGGAACATATGAATGGAGCTTCCCAAACAAAAACCACATTTGCTGTTAGAATTTTTTTCAATGGAGAAACAATTCCAAAATGCTCATCCATCCGAATTTTTTCAGCGCTGCAGTCGACATCAATCATCAATTTGGCACCACCAGCTATTAGAAAGTCAAACAAACATTCTGAAATCGATTTCATGTGTTCGAAATGCTAACCCTGTACACCCTACCTTAGTAACTCTTATGAGGCTTATTTATTTACAATATGCTGTGAATCGCTTTCAACATTTCATTAATGCTAGTTCAGGATCTCTGAGATTCCAAACTGGAGTCAATGTTTTACTATGCTTTCTGATCTAATTCATTCCTTAACACGCTTTCCAAAACTAACTAGAGGTAGGCTTCAGGATGTTGATTAACAAAATGTTTGGGTTGTATGTGTTCTTCACTCCTGTGTAAAAAAATAAATAATATCTTTTTTGCCATATCATTGTTCGAGCCAGTTATAGATTAGACACCTTGCACAAATATTGTAACTTTTGTTTGTAACAATTTTTTTTTGCATTCCTGGGTTACGTTTAGTTCTCTTGATATGTTGTGATGTAACTTTTGTGTTTTGAGATTACAACCCAGAAATAGCATATCTTGGAGCATGTTCTGAATTGGTTGTCACATAGCACTCCTTCTTCCCTGGTCCACCCTCCATTATATTCTGACCCCTGTTTGACTTATCTGCCCCATTATATTCCAACTCTCCCTCCCCCCTCAATCCTTGTTTAAATACTCCTCCAACCCTCCCATGAACCTCTCCCCTAGCACAGCAGCCCCCCTTCCATTTAGGTGCAGACCAACTTTAGCATATCGGTTGCACCCCAATGAAAATCCAGCCCAGTGCTGCAGAAACCCAAAGCCTTCCCTCTTACACCAGGTCCTCAGCCATGCGTTTAGCTCTCTAAGCTCCCACTGTCTTTCCTTCCCTTCAGCTTGCAACCTAGTTCTTTAACTACCTCCGGGCCGGCTGTAGTAAAAAAAACGGCCGGCCGGGAGCTCTCTAGATCTGAGCGGGCGTCTTTAGACGTCCGCTCAGACATGCCCCCTCGCTGCGCCGCTGGGCGCGTGCAGGAAATGCCCGATATTTAGAAACAGGCAGCGATGCCTGTTAACATACAAGCGATCCGCCGGCTGTGGAGCCGGCGTATCGCTTGTATGGGGTAACGATCGGTGCCCTCCCCGCTGTTGTCACGCTGATCCCGGGCTCCGCTGTGCGAGCTCCCTCCGGTCCCCTCTCCTCTGCAAGAATGCGGAAGTGTTGTATATTACATCACTTCTGCATTCTTGTGTCACTCTCCAGCTTCAGAAGCTGGAAAGAAGCTGATGGAGCAGATCTGTGCTTCATCAGCTTCTTATTTTTTAGCAATAAAGTTAAGTGGGGAAAAGAAAATAGGGAAAAAAAAATTAAAGTCCCCCCCAAAATGTAAAGTTACACATAATAAAGAATAAAAAAAACAAAAAAATTTGTTACGTTCCCAGCCATACATACACGCATGCAAACATGCGTCGGGGGCGCATACGTGCAAACGTTTCTTAGCCCCCTCTGTGATAGCAATAAAGTTAAGTGGAAAAAAAAATTGGAAAACAATTGAAAGTTTCCCCCCAATTTTTTTTTAAGTTACACATGAAGAATAAAAAAAACTTTTTTTTTTTAAAGTCCCCACCCCTAGATACACAGTGAGAGCAATAATTTTAGGGCCATCAATCACTGATGAGCGGTAAAAGCTTTTAAAGTGTCGCCTATGGCCAATTTTGGGTATGGTAGTTTTCTGCGATTTTGCGGGTGTGCGCAATTTTAAAGCTTTTTTTTTTTAATAATTCAATTTTTATTATTTCAAAATAAACAAGGTAACTTTAACATCTATTCTTTTAATAATTCAATTTTTATTATTTCAAAATAAACAAGGGAACTTTAACATCTATTCGTTTTACATCAAAGTACATTTTAACAGTTGAATTCCAGCATTAAGTGTAGGCGGGCAGGATTCACTCCCGTCCGGACGAAGAGTATGAATTTTAAAGTTTGACATGTTTGGTGTCTATTTACCCGACGTGACCCGATCTTTTATATTACCAAAAAACTGGTGAATAATAAATGTTTCCTGACATTTTTTCAATATTTTCTGTAATTTTTCCTAATTATAGTAAAAAATAAAAACCCCAGTGGTGAATAAATACCACCAAAAGAAAGCGCTGTGTCCCCAAAAAATGGTATAAAATTCATTTCAGTACAGCGTTGCATGACGGAATAAACGTCAGTCAAAGTATCGCAGCGCTGAATACTGAAAAATGGCCTGGCCAGGAAGGGGGTCTAAACACCTGGTCTTCAAGCAGTTAAATTGATTTTTAATGATCCTCCGTCTTCCATGTATTCTGTTATTGGCCCCAACATGGTCCAAGACAGCTGGGTCATGCCAAAGCCACTCCCAGTAATTTGTCCACCCGGTTCATCACATGCCGAACCCTGGCACCAAGGAGACGGCAAACCATCCGGTTGAGGTGATCTGGGCAGTCCTCCGAATTATAGAATCCCC